GCCACAACGCCTGGCCATTTTTTGGTTGCAGCCATCATTGTTGTTTGGCGGGCCCGGGCTGGGGATTCGAACCCGCCACCTTGGGTGTATGTGGCTGGCGCCTTAGCCGCTTGAGCCACAGACGCCGAGCCGCCTTTTAAGTTTTTCAGGGCACTTTATATTTATTAAAACCCTTAGTGACATAAGCTCTTTTTTTTTTTTTTTTTTTTTTTGATAGTCTCACTTTGTCACCCTTGGTAGAGTGCCATGGTGTCATAGCTCACAGCAACCTCAAACTCTTGGGCTCAAGCAATTCTCTTGCCTCAGCCTCCCAAGTAGCTGGGACTATAGGAGCCTGTCATAACGCCGGCTATTTATTTATTTTTGTTTTAGAGATGAGGTCTTGCTCTGACTCAGGCTGGTCTGGAACTCAAACTTGTGAGCTCAGGCAATTCACCCGTCTGGGCCTCCCAGAGTGCTAGGATTACAGGTGTGAGCCACTGTGCCTGGCTAGCTCTTTTTTTCTTTTTTCTCAACAGCTTATGAAGTGAGCACCAAGATACTGATGCTGTTTATAATAGATCACTTAGCATCAAGTTAGTAGTAGACTGGGCACTGTTACTCAAAACCAAAATTCTAATCAGCTGAGTAGTCCGTTGAGTTTGCCAGATTGTATGTATTTAACCCTTGAGAACTTAAAGTTGAATATAATAATTAATGGAAACAATTATAGAGCCCCAGAAATATAAAAGTCACATACTAGTCACTTTCTTTTCTTTCTTTCTTTGACTTGTTTTGTTGTTGCAGTTTTTGGCTAGGTCCAGGTTTGGACACACCACCTCCCGTATGGCACCCTACTCCTTGAACCACAGGCACTGCCCACTAGTCACTTTCTAGTATTGGTTTTTATTTTGGATATTTTGCCATTGTAAAATTTCTTTTCTTTTGGTGTCTAGTCTGTTCTTATGGTAATTGCTATTTTCTTTCTGTATTTAGTTGTCATAAGCTACCTATTTTGTGCCTAGAAACTGGGCCTGACAACAAGTTGATTGGGAGCAAAGCCACAGTGATCTTCTCAGAATTAAGAGGGTTTTTTTTTTTTTAATAAGAATTGAGTTTTGTTTTTTTTTTTCTTTTGAGACAGAGCCTCAAGCTGTCCCCCTGGGTAGAGTGCTGTGACATCACAGCTCACAGCAACCTCCAACTCCTGGGCTCAAGAGAGTCCACTGCTTCACCCTCCCAAGTACC